TGTTGTGCATAGGGTTGCTATGAGTTGGTACTGACTCGATGGCACTTAACAACAACATGATTCGGAACTGACTTGACGGCACTTAACAACAACAACAGCAAATCCCCTCAGAAGTCACTGTTTCCATTGTCCCCTTCTTTGGAAGGTCCCCTAAGGAGACCAAGACAATTGTATTCCTGGGAGAATCTGTCTGCCGCCATCCACTGACCACAGAGACATGTGTAAGCATGTGTGGTTTGACTTGGAATTCAGTAGTGTATGTATGAACTGGAGTAATACTTTTGACTTCCTCATGTTCTCAGCATATATCTTCTTCCTGGATGCTGGCCTGGAATTGCTAACCAAGAGGTTGGAGATCTGAATTCACCTTGGAAGACATGGCTGATGTTCCACTTCCAAAGACCTAGCCATTGAAATCCCTGCGGAGCGCCGATCTACAGTGACTCATGTGGGGTCGCCGTGAGTCAGAACTAGATGACATGGGCATGAAAAGGAAGCAAACCGAAGGGTCTCTTGGGGTGAGGGGTGGTAGGAAGAGAAACACAGGGAACTCTGGGAGAGTGATGGGTAGGCTCAGTATCTTGACAGTGTGGATGTTTCATGTGTGTACTCCTATGTTAACGTCGATCCAATTGTATACATTAAACACGTGTGCCTTACTGTACACCAACTACCACTCTGCAAATCTGCTTTTAAAAACAATTTAAAAATTGTTGTTAGAATCTTCTTTTCTTGAGATGCAACAGCCTTGCCGTCTCACAACTTCTAGACTGTACCCGTCCTTTTCTGAGTCTCATTCTGAAGGCACATAACATTTCTTAGATGCTGGTCACTGAAAGTTCTGAAGCCTGTAGTTCTTATGCTCTAGGACAACATGTTGTTGTTGTTAACTGCCATCGAGGCATTGCTGATCACAACGACCCTGTACAAGGTTTTCAAGGAGCTGCTGGTGAGTTTGAACCATCAACCTTGTACTTCAAACAGACTTTGCAGTCCAGCACAGCACCACACCAGGACTCATGCAGCATGTTGTTGTTGTTAAGTGCCATCGAGTTGACCCATAGTGACCCTGTATAGGGTTTCCAAGGAGCGACTGGTGAGCTTGAACCAGTGACCTTGCAGTTCAAATGACTTTGCAGTCTGATGCATTAGTCCACAGTCAACATAAGAGAAGCACCATGTTCTCTGGGGGCCCACCATGTTCCAATCTGCTATGGAGACAAAGTCAACTGCGATTCATGGCGCGTTCCATATGTGCAGAGGACAACTGCAGTGACCTTTCAGAAGCCGACTGCCAGATCTTTCTTCCAAGTTACCCCGGGTAGGCTCAAACTGCCAAGTTTCCACTCATTGAACACTTAACTTTTTGTACCATCCAGGGACCCCTGGTGATTATGTGCCATGGAGTCGGTTCTGACTCATAGTGACCTTGGGCTTCAGGTATGGCAGGTCAACCGGGGAAGTACGGTAGGGACGGGGCTCCGGGGAAAAACGAGTGGGCTCTCACAAAGGAAACGTTCATATACCAGTCCAACGGCTTATACACTATCATAAAGTCTCCTGAACTTATATTTTGGGGAAATCGCACTAATAAGGATAAAGAAAGACGTGTATTTTGGGACTTTTGCTTGTGGGTCCGCAGGTCGCTCCTGCGACTGCAGTTTAGAGGGAAAGGCCAAGGCCAGTCCGTTCGGAAAGCACCCACGCACGGAGAGTGTGAGAAAGTTGGCGGAGGGCCGGCTGTGGCTTTCTGAACGTCGTCCACCATCCCCCATCTGTCCCTGCATCTAAGCCCCCTGCCCCCCACTCCTAGCTATTAAGGGGGATCATAGTGACCCTGTACAGGATTTCCAAGGCTGTAAATCTTTATGGGAGCAGAAAGCCTCATCTTTCTCCTGTGGAACAGCAGGTAGTTTTGAACTGCTGACCTTGAGGTTAGCAGCCCAATTCCTAACCACTACGCTACCAGGGACCCCTTGAGGATTTTATTTTATCCTTACCACAGAACTGGGAACTCAAGGTATGAATACATAGGAAGATGGTTCAGCTAAAATAAAACACCTGTGTCAGCATTGTGCCCAAACATGGTAATAGAATTCAAGCCCAGGAGAATCAGTCTTAGGAGATGACCTTTGAACTTCCTTCGAACGCTGATATTCTGCATTGGAGGTTGAAGCCCAAACTGGTCTTAAACCTATCGTTTTCCCATCCTTTATCTCCTTACTACCAAGGTCACAACAGACCATTTCAGTAGAAAGTACCGTCTGACTTGAATTACCCTGCACAAATTCTTTCTTTCTTTTTTACTTTTCATCATTAATAAGAGTTCTAGGATTTCAGTCCCTGTAAAAGTAAAGAACTTCATTATTGTTAAGTACCATGGAGTCGGTTCCGACCCATAGTGACCCTGTACAGGGATTCAGAGGCTGTAAATCTTTACGGGAGCAGAAAGCCTCATCTTTCTCCCGCGGAACAGCTGGTAGTTTTGAACTGCCGACCTTGAGGTTCGCAGTCCGATTCGTAAGCACTACGCTACCAGAGCTCCTTCACAGATCTATATAAAGTAGACTAAAAGAAACAGGAAGCAGGACACAATGCAAGCTAAGGACCCCCAACATCAGCCACGTGAAGGGCACTCGGTTCTCAAGGCCCTCCTGGGACCCACTGGGCTTTTGGGGACAGAAGCTGTCGGTAGACGCTGTAGGGCAGGACCGCAGAGTCCCCACGGGCGGCGCCCCCACCCCGCTCAACCACCTTGGGGGCGCCTAGGCGACCGAAGCCCCCGCCCAAGGAGCTAACCATTTATGTCACACTGTGACAATTATTCTGCATAAAATTATCATTAAAAATCTTAATTTTTCAGCCTCCAACCTCACCAGTGGCCTTTTAGCATGGTTCCTTGGCGGCGGCGTCTGCAGGCCTTGATCACCCGCTCATTACCGCGGTGTGGAGCCTCCCCCACAGCTGCAATCAGCGCTAATTACACCAGCCCGGGGGCTGGGGGGCTCAGGGAGGTCCGGGGACCGGAGGCTGGGGGTCAGGGGGTCGAGGGGCTCAGGGCGGGAATACCTAGAGCTGGGGGCAGTCCCAGGAAGACTGGGTCCAGTACTCGCTCGGGCCATGGGGGGGTGGTCGTGATTGGGGGCGGGAGCGGGGACCCAGGGTTGAAGACGGGTCTGGGTCCCGCATGGCCTGTGTGTGTGTGTGTGTGTGTGTGTGTGTGTGTGTGTGTGTGTGTGTGAAGCCGGGTTCCGGGGCGAAGAGAGAGTCCCTGTATCCAGGCGGGGGCAGTGACGGGGCGTGGACCAGTACTGGGATCCCGGCGGGACCTAGGGTCGGGGGATCCCCTTCGCGTCCTCACCTGAGTGAGTTGGCCGTACGACAGAGATGCAAGGGCGCCAGGGCGTCAGAGCTGAGCAGGTCGGGGTCGGCGTGGTGGTGCAGTAGCAAGAGGGCGCAGGCCGTGTGGCCCCCCAGGCAGGCCTCATGGAGGGCACTGCGGCCCCCGGGGCTGGCGTTGGGCCGGGCGCCGCGGTCGAGCAGGTGGTGCACACAGGCCGTGTGGCCTCGGGCTGCAGCGATGCGCAGTGGTGTGGTCAGCTCACGCTTGTACTCCAGGGTCCAGAGACCTGGGGGAGGGAGAGGTGAGCTGGGGACGGTGGGGAAGGGAGGTCTCCTCTAAGGCGGGAGGAGGGGAAAACTGGCTCTTAGAGATACCAGGGACCAGGTGGGCATGTAGGACAGATACACAGACCCAGAGGGCTAGGAACAGAGGGACACATTGAGGACCAGCCAGACAGAGAGGCTGGGAAGAGAGAGGAGAAAGGACAGAACAAAAGAAGAGACAGATGGAGACACAGAGGAGATATGGAAAGCTATTGGCTGAAAGCAGAGAATATCAGAA